TGCGGACGAGCGAGATACGAAACGACGGCGGGAGTTTCAGCGTAAGGAACCGGATTTAGCAAGATGTGCTAAAGGCAGTCCAGCACGAAGGCAGGAGCATGGGTGTCATGGACAGAGGATGCGGCTTAGATCTGGCAAAAAGGGTGCCCACAAGAGGAGACATGGTCTGGTCACCACCAGTGGCCGGCAGAAGCACGACCATGTGAGATGGTGCACCACCGGAGATAAGCTGGAAGCAAAGTCCAGCAACGCATCGAGCCGAGAGGAGCTACAGGAGGGCGATTTGGTGTTGTTGCACATGCCGCAGCCGAAGAAAGGCGTCACCTCCGAACAACATCGTAACGGCTGAAGGACGCAGTGCATCGAATTCAGACAGCTGGGAGACCGAGGACCAAGATGAAAGTGGTCCACTTGGAAAGACTTGCAGCGGTTGGAGCGGCAACACACCACAGCCGCCACAGCGGAGTTGAGTTAGTTACAAGTCAGCAAGCTACAAGTAAAGTGATCAGAGAAGTGAGTTGCAAATAAGCAAGCTATAAGTTTAATTGTGTTAACAAGTTTAGTAAAGTGTTATTATTGCTTTAACAAGTATTGTAAAGCGTTTATAGCGAGTATTGTAAATTGATTGTTGTACAATAAAGTTAATTGTACTACAATTTGGTCATCGTTAGCATTTATTTAACAAACCAGCGATACGAACCGAGAGATTTGAGAAATCCGGACGAGGTTTCAAGGATAATTGTAACAGTATAGGGCCGGTTGCTCAAAAGGCTCTGTTATGCATACTTGGCATGGCTTGAGAGTTATCACATAAGAAATCTGTTAAATGAGCTCCGCGTGTAAGCGGTTATCCAACGCACAGCAGTACATACGTAGAAGTCTGTTGGTTTTTGATTTCTACGTAAAAATGGTATAGCAGTGCATGCACTGCCAAGTATGCATAACAAAGCCTAAAGCCTGGTTGACACTAATCCCCGGTTAAACATCGTTATCGACGTTACCAACACCATGTTATTTGCATGGAGCCGAAAACGTCGATAACGATGTTAATCGGTGATTAAGGCTCTGTTATGCATACTTGGCATTGCATGCACTGCTATACCATTTTTACGTAGAAATCAAAAACCAACAGACTTTTACGTATGTAATGCTGTGCGTTGGGTAACAGCTTACACGCGAAGCTCATTTAACAGATTCCTTATGTGACAACTCTCAAGCAATGCCAAGTATGCATAACGGAGCCTTTCGAGTCAATCAGGCTTTGAGCAACCGGCCATATAATCAGTATTATACTAGGTTCACATATAAGTAGATTATCCCCATTTTCGAGGTTAACACCCTAATCTGTAATTATAACAAGAGATTAGCCATATAAAATTCGTCCCTTGTTAATCTGTAATTATAAAATAATCTCAGATTTAACCGATATCTTTTCGGTGCACATCCTAGTTTTATCGATTGTTTTTGCGAAAAAGTGGAGAAATGCCAAATGTAAAAGTAAACAAAAATGGACGCTAGCAAGGAAAAGAGGTTTGTAAAGATATTTTTAATAAAAGTTAAGTTAAAATACATGATTCAATAATACTAATAGTATTATATGTAATAATAATAATAATCATAGTATTATTCAATCATGGTTAAAATATATTTATATTGCTTAATATAGCAGAAAAACGTGATCACGGTGGCACAGAGAAGAAACATAACTTTTCCTTGAAATGTGAGAATAACAAGCACAACAAATTTGACGGCTAATAATCTGAGATTTGCCTGTGTAAACGGGGTGATTAAAAACGAGCTTTAATTGAGATAATATTGATATGCGAACATACTTTTAGGGTACTCTTCATGAACCAAAAATACAAGATCACGCCTTCTTCTTAGTCCTCTTTCAGACACGTCAAGTCTTGCTTTCAAGTCTGCTCGTTCGTAGGAGAAGGAGGTGAGAAGAGTACAGATACCTCCGTACCGTCAATTCGTTTCAAGTTTTCTTGTCTCTTTTGATCTTTTCGTTGCTTCCCATTTAAAGAACCAAGGACTTGAATTCAATTAAAGTTAACGCGTGTGGAAGCAAATAGAAAACACAAAAGAGAATGCGAAAAAATTGCTTTCAAGACTTGACGTGTCTGAAAGGGGACTTAGTGGCCCGTTACAATCGCATTTAGGAAAAAAGTTGGGCGACTTTGACATTAGCCGTTTGTTTACATTTGTTCGTTGTTTACAATTTGGTGGTGGCTTTTAACTGCAATTTTCTTAATTTTCGCTTGTGACAACGTGTGCACACATAAGGTAAAGAATAATTTAACACAACGACATGATTTATAGAAGAATTTGCATAATAAAAATTATTCATGCGTTCAACAATTACGCGTTTTTTTTTGTTCTCTTCGTTGTTTACTTCTTATAACAAGGATGGCGTCGAGATTTCAACAGCTAGAAAATAACTTTTTTTCTTTCTTTCGGGAAGGCGTGATCTTGTGTCTTTCGTTCATGGGTACTCTTTAGTACGTAGTCGGTCTATTTCGAGGTATTGCGTCCAAAGGGGTGACCCGATCCAAAAAAAATTGCACACACTTCTAGTCAAGGGTCTACACATTATTTTAAAACCCACTTTTGTAATTTTTGATCGCTAATTTATTTACAAATTGGGTTTGAAATATGCCCTTTTTTGTAAAATTCGGAAATTAGCGTACATTTATTACTTCTATCCTCCTTAATGCAGCCACTTAACCAATATATTTTTATATTCCCCTTCACTTTACACTTTACTCAATTAGTTATAACTTGCTTTACGGCTTTAATATTAACAAATTAATCACAATTCATTAAATAAAAACACCTTCAAAAACACGCGTCTGACTTTGGTTGCATATGCAAATTAAATGGCGGAGTTCAGCTGTCAAACTCTAAAGTATGCAAAACATATAACCCAGTAAGCATTAAAAATATACAAAGGTGTTCTCTGCAAAAGGTGTTCAGCCCCCCTTCTTTGGCAACACAGAAAGGAGAATTCTACTGCTTGAGGGTTATAATCCCTACGCAGAAATAAATTCTACGCAAAAATACATTTGTTAAAGAGAACATTTTTTTTTATATAAACTTGTTTTGGCATAAATGTAGAATACCTACAATTCTCAAATTAAAAAAAAATCATATTGGGATCGATGGAGATCATTGAGGTGAACGTAACGATATATATATTTTTTTGGGAAACAACAACTACAACAATTATTAAAAGTCAAAGTTCAAATTAAGCATGTTTTTTAATTAATATTTCTCGAGAACCCCTCCAAGGATTTGGAAAATTTTATGTCATTTGATAGAGAATTTAATTCTCTTTAATTTGATATACATATTTATACATATATCTTTTATAGTATTCACAAAAATATAATTAATGTGGAATTCTACTTTGTGAGGGTTATAATCCATAAGTGCGGCCGAAGGCCGCCTACGCAGAAAGGTGTTCTCTGCAAAAGGTGTTCAGCGCCTTTTCTTCGCAACACAGAAAGAGAATTCTACTTTGTGAGGGTTATAATCCATAAGTGCGGCCGAGGGCCGCCTACGCAGAAAGGTGTTCTCTGCAAAAGGTGTTCAGTGCCTTTTCTTCGCAACACGGAAAAGAATTCTACTTTGTGAGGGTTATAATCCATAAACTCGGCCGAAGGCCGCCTACGCAGAAAGGTGTTCTCTGCAAAAGGTGTTCAGCGCCTTTTTTTCGCAACACAGAAAGAGAATTCTACTTTGGGAGGGTTATAATCCATAAGCGCGGCCGAAGGCCGCCTACGCAGAAAGGTGTTATCTGCAAAAGGTGTTCAGCGCAAAAAGAAGTTTATACACAAAAACCCTGTATACTTTTTTCCACATTAATTCGATTTTTGTGAAAACTATAAAAAGGTATATGTATAAATATGTATGTATATCAAATTAAAGAGAATTAAATTCTCTATCAAATGACATCAAAATTGTCCAATTCCTTGAAGAGGTTTTCGAGAAATATTAATTTAAGAAAATGCTTAATTTGAATTTTGACCTTTAATAATTGTTGTAGTTGTTGTTTCCCAAAAAAAATAAATATACCGTTATGTTCACCTCAATGGTCTCTATCGATCCTATTTTTTTTTTTTTAATTCGAGATTTGTAGGTATTGTGCATTTGTTCCCTTGTTTTTGCTATTTTTAATTAACTATTTTATTCTTTATTCAAAATCGCCCGATATCTAATTTGGCATAATTTCTTTTATTAAAAAATCCCCCGGTTTCTGTTAGTTGGGTCATATTCCACTTCAAACTGCTCAGTTTGCCTAAGAAAATTCCGTTTTTCCCCCTTTTTCAAACGGTTCCCCAGGGGCCTGTGGGAGGAGCCCAAGGTACGCCTTTTTAGAAAGCGGGGACTGCCCCCTTTCTAGTGGGGGAGGTTTAGGGGCCCCGCCCCTCCCCCTCCGCCCATCACCCCAAAAACGATGTGAGTGCTACTAAACATTTCCCTAAAATAATGCGTAGACCCTGGACTACAAGGGTGTGAAATTTTTTTTGGATCGGGCCACCCCTTTGGACGGAATAGGCCGAAATAGTGGAGCGCTACTAAACCCCACCCTAAAGGAACGAGTAATAATTATTTAATTCTAATGATTATTTAAATCTCCCTGTCGACCAGAACGGGAGTAACTTAAAACGTAACAAAAAAGTTGATGTTAAGTACATTATAGTTTCAGAATAGGATTTACGTGTATTAGCCCTTAAGTAAGAAAAATTTTATGGACAGAGCATGCCACATAGATCGTTGCAACTACAGCGCGAAGCGAAAAGATGGCCAACTCCCATCTTTTAGCGCGCGTTGACAATCAGCGGGTTTAATATTTATTTTGTTTCGTCCAAATTCGAGCTTAAAAAGCAGTTCAAATTGTTTTCTTGCCGTTCATTGTGGCATACCTTTTGCGTCTGGCGCTTTGCTGGCAAAGTTGTGGCATCAGCTTTATTGTCTAATTTCAACTATAAAAGTACGTGTACTCAGCGTATAGGACAGCTGATCCAAACGTGTTGAATGAGTTCGTCGTGCAAATTTTTAGACGCCTACATTTTGTCGAAATGATCAAAAACAAGAAACCGGAAGAAAAAGGCAAGGGATGCGAAAAGACTGTGTTGGAAAAGAGTCAAAATTTAAAAAACAATACCAAAAGGAGGTTTGAGGCTAAAAGAAGATTGAAGCAGGTCAAAAATTCTGATATGGCAATGAAAGAAACTGGCACTTTAAATGGGTGTACCAAAACGGGAGATAAAAAGGATGAGCGAACAAAAGGCGATGCAAAACAGGTAATTCTTATTAGTGGGGACAAACTACTTGCAAAAATTGAGAAGGAAAAAGATAACGATGCACAAGGCGAAGCAACAGAGGAAATTCCTACTAGAGGTGACAAACTACTTGCAAAAATTGATAAGAAAAATGCTAAAAAGTTGGCCAAAAAGCTTAAAAAACAAACAAAAATTGAAGCGAATAAACTTGGCCCAAGAATGGAAGAAAATGAATCTGTTGGTGAACCGATAGTAGAATTATCTAAACCTAAAATTCAAAAGAAAAAAGGCGATGGTCCGGGTAAACGAGGTAAGGTTCATGTACATTTTCTCGAATCGTAAATATTTAGTCTGAGCTGTCACTGGAACCATCGGCTGCTTCGATTTTCGTGGTATCTATGAAACTGCGATCACTAAATCCGAACGGGCAAATTGAAAAAATGCGTTAAGTTCGTAACTATTCGAATTCAGTGATAGCATTTTCATAGATTTTACGAAAAGCCGGACTACGAAGGATTTAGTGCTAGCCCTGAGTGTATGTATGATTTTTATGCAAGCATATGTCTACATATATTAATGTTGATACCATATCTCTTTTAAGAGCCAAGAGATCGCGATCCCGCTAAAGAGGCAGCTACTGTCTTCGTGGGAAACCTACCGGTCAATACAAAGCGCGTTCAATTGGTACGCCTTTTTAGAGATTACGGACCAGTTAATGGCATTCGTTTTAGAACAGCTTCTGGTAAGGTTTTGTTTAAACATAAGCATCGTAAAGAGGCAGGCACTTTGAATGCTTGGGTGGTTCTTAAAGATGCAAAGACGGCGGCAAGTGCTTTAGATTTAAATGGCACGGTATTCAAAAACAATCATCTTCGCATAACTCGTGCAGATTTGAAAAGCACTCCCATGGACGCAAAATGTACAATTTTTGTCGGTAACCTTAAATATAGTGAGTTCTGAGAGAAACATTTAAAATTGCCTTAAACCACTGTCTTAAATACTTGTTTCAGATGCTAACGAAGAGAAGCTGCGGGAAATATTCTCTAGCTGCGGAGATATTGACTATGTACGTTGTTTACATGATGATAAAGGCTGTAAGGGCGTTGCATATGTCTGCTTCAAAGCACCAGAAGCAGTAGGATTGGCACTGGAGCTCAATGAAACTATGCTGGATGAACGACCAATACATGTTGAACGTTATTCTGTTAGGAAGTTGGGTGCAAAAACAGGTCGAGATGCAAAAAGTGGAGACACTAAAGAGCCGTCAGGTAAATGCAATAAATTAAAGGACAAAGAAAAAAGCTTGCATACAAAAGACAGCGATTTCAAAAAGAAAAAATTTCGCGGTGTGAAAGTAGATGCTATGAAAAAGAAACAAAAGAAGAAACCGACAAGTCAAATGCAAAATTTAGCGAAGAAAATAGCTCCAAAAAAACAGTCTTGAAATCGAACTTCTCTTAATATAGTATTTCAGTGACCAACCTGATTGGTATCTTAATGTAAATTGTTGAAATTTTAAGGCGAAATAACAAGAAAATATATTAGTAAAAGTATTTTTATTTTCGTGCTAATTGTTTTCGTAATTTAGCTTGAGCTTCTATTGGGAATTTATTCATGTTACTCTCTACACAAGACAAGCAATAAGTAAGTGTAAAATAAAAACTACATTCTGCATCTTTGCAAACGACTTTTTTGCACACCGAGCACTTGGCGCCTACAACAATAAAATACTCTGCTTTGGGTTTCCAACGTATTGGAGTCGGTTGAAAAGGATCGCGCATGACAAACGAGTCTTCTAAAAGTTTTAGTCCATAAACAAACTGTGGATTTTTGCCATAATAATGAACCACTTCTTTCATGCAACAGGCGGAACACTGAAAAAGAATTTTTGGTTTGTGATCATCGTTTTGATGCTCGGTAGTTATTGTTTCAGCGGCTGGTAATTTCATGCTAGCAATTTCTGCCTTTTCATCTCTCACATTCAGTTGCAGGTCATCATATTTGTTAAGAGAGGTATCATCTGGTGGCAAGCTGGATATTCTTGGTATCTCCATAATCGCACCTGCAAACGAAGATCGCAAATTATATTCATTATATTCAACGTCTTTAACGCTTAACAATTTTTATTCATATATTATAATTTTGTTTTGATTAAAAACAATACAAAACAAGAATAAAATCTGACGAGGTATAATAAATATACGTCAAATATATGCAAAATTGCTTCCTAGCAGCCATCTACTCTAGCCTTCTTAGGCAGTTCTGATGGCCACCAATATGGTTTTTCTACATAGCATATTTTGCCGTCAATGAATAATTTGGGTGAATTCAAAGCTTGCTCTACTCGCAATAGCCCCAATGCTCTATCAAAGTTTGCACCACGAATTAGGCCAACGTTTGTCCCAGTTTCGGTTGAGATAGTCAATGATTTCGGTGGCGCTGGAACAGTCAATCGTAAAGGCATTATGCGCTTTCGCACTACTCCTGTATGATGAACACGAGCTGTTAGCTCTTGCCCAATGTAACAGCCTTTGTGAAAGCTAACACCATGCAAGTAATCACAATTAGCTTCCAAAGGAAAACTTTTGCCAGGTGGAAGGTCATAAACACCTTCACCGACGCCATAACGATAGCGATGCATTCGGTAGTTGCAGTCATTTGTAGGTTTTGCAACTGTGACATCACCCGTTTTAGAAAACATATTAGCCAAGTCCTTCCAAGTTTTATCTGATTTTGTTATAACACGAGTACCAAGGTCCCGTATACGTGGATCCGGTGTAGATATAACTTCTTGCCCCACTTGTACACTAGTATCCATTCGAACAACGCTGCCAACTGGATTAAAAACAATCCATGGGCGATACTCTTGGCCTACAGAATCTATCTGAATGTTTCTGCGAACGCGATAAAGCAGCAAATGTCGTCGAAGTTCGTTTGATATGTATTTATCGCATTCAATCAAATACGTATTCAGTTCTGGAGTGCGGTATATAATTGAATCATACAGCACTCGACCGGCCTTATTCAGAAACATTGTGTACATTGCAGGAGTTTTGGCAAGAGGTGTACTGCCCGACTGCAAATGAGTCATGTCATTCGTTATGAGTCCTTGCAAGAAGGGCACAACCTCTTCTCCCTGTACTCTAACCAATTCTCGATCCGATAATTCCTCCACAACCAACCGTCTATCAGCGAATTTCTCACTATGATGTACCCACATGAAGTTGTTGGTGGTCTCAATGAAACGGGCAAAACTAGACTTGATTCTTGTCAAACCTTTTAATATATTCATTTTGAGGTGGCAAAAGAACTGCAGAACAAGTCATTAAATTAAAAAGCTTCCGTCGAAAAGCGTTAACTTACTTGTAATTAAATGAATGAATGTAGGAACCCGATTCTAATAAACATCAAATATGTATATTCGAAGTACAAAAAAGAATTGTATTACAAATTTAGAAGTAACTACAATAAAATTTCGATTGAAAAATTTAAAAACATTCCTATGTACGTATATAGACGTATAACCAAAAGCCATTTCGGATAATATTCGTTATGTGACTAGAAACAAGGTTGCCAAGTATCATAAATCATGTGGATTATTTTCTGATTGTAGCCGGCTGTCTTCACGTGCTGGCAAATCTCGCTTGCGTAACGACGCCTTATAAAATAAAATAATAAAATTTATGGAAATATATTATCAAGGCCCTAACCAGACATTGGGCCGTATGAATAAAAATAAGCAATTGCTTTTTCTTAAAATTTCAGATCTTTTACTCAATTTATTCAAACAAAAGTGAAGTAAAAGGTATGAAATTTTAAGAAAAAGCAATGCTTAGTTTTTATTCATACGGCCCATTGAGTAACCGGCCCTAATTGATTTTTGCTTCGTAACCCTTTTTTGGGGTGGGCTTTCGTAGTTAGCCGCACCTTGTGTTTTAAGAAAACCTGGTGGAATTAACAAATGAAACAAGGACGCAGTCTCAAGTTATGTAGACTGAAGACCTGTGAATGTCGTTCTAGGCACACAAACACCGGACATTGACGCGACGGAGCTCCATCTGCCTCGGGAGACCAGGACAACAATAGCCCAACTTCGCTCTGGCTACTGCAGCAGGCTTAATTCCTACCTGAGTAGGTTAAATGCGGATGTGCCGAACGAATGTCCGGCATGCGGAGAGACCCCTCACGACTCGAAACATCTCTCCGCATGCCCGGAAAATCCCACAACCCTAACGGCGTCGTCCCTATGGACCGACCCCATAGAGGCTGCACGCTTCTTGGGGCTGCCGTTAGTGGAACTTGACGACAACGCCTGAGGCCTATCTGAGCGGGGTTGTTGTAGCCGCTACAACAACAACAAATGAAACTTGGTCAGGATGTTAAGGGAGGTATCCTCTAAAACATGTATAATTAAAAAGTATAAACAATATCATTGTTTATAAGTTATTTGTGTACACACTTTTATTTTATTTTATCTTGTATATAAATCAAGGAATAGCGGTCCGAGATCTGCGCAATCTTTGTATTCTCTCAATCGTGGCTTTTGCGAAACCAGGTCAAAATGGACGGAAAAAGTTCGAGAGTGGTATCAATCGACGCGTCTTAGCGCCATAATAACAAATCGAGACCGGATATTATTTGCAAAAAACACTTGTACTTTCCACACTAAGTTTTGATGAATTTCACGCAAATGAATGGAATAAATGAACTCAATTTAACACGTATTTATTAGTTTTTATACATTTGTGATGTTTTAAGTGTACACTTTCACGAAATTCTGTATTTAATAGCAATATTTCGATGGTTAAAATCCGCAGAATAATCTTGTGTAGTTAATATAAAGAAGATGCATAGATCTGACAACATGAAACAAAAGAAAAAAGTTATTTTCTGGCTGACGTTTGTAATTTCGGCGGCATGTTATTTTCTGTGAAAAGTAAACAAAGAATATGAAGACGAAGCATAAAGAAAAAATGCAAGCAATATTGTGCACATGTTTGTGCAAACCAATTTATTATTTTTGTGCGTGTTTTTGCATCCAATCACCGCGCACTTCATATCACAGTATATACAGTAATAAACCTTTTCGCAGTTTTTCACCATTTGGTCCCCGAGGAGTACTTTTGGGTTGTGTGCAGCGTCTTCGTTTTTCGCGCACGGCAACACTTACTGTGGGGAATTTCGACTCACGATTAGAAAAAGTACATTTCGAGGATAAAATATACACAAATATGTGTTATTTATGAACAAAATGTAGGTTAAGGCTGTGTGCGAGTACGTCTAAATTGCTACCTAATGCCCTGTATGCAGCTCTCAAGAAAACGGTCAAGAAAAATTTGCCATTATTTCGTGTGTGTGTCCAAGAAATTTTGACATTTTTGATACTTCATAGCCTGTTGCCTCACTCTTTCCTCAAGGTTTAATGGAACGGACATATATTTCTGTTGCAAACCTGGGTTGCCTTGTGCTCTTTTTTCACAAAAAATTTTAGAAAACCGTAGAGGAAGCGTAGCAAATTCCTTAAGAACTGCGTACTACCTTACGGAAAGTTGACTCAAGAAAATTTCTTAGCCATTCTTGTACATCATTTTACATGGAGTTTTTGCTTTTCTTGAGAGCTGCATACAGGCCTTTTTATTTTATTATTATTATTATAAAATAAAAAGCTTATTTTTACTTTCTTAAGAAATTTACTACGCTTTCTACTGGATAATGCAAAAATAAAAGTTAGAGACAATATTGACCTTCTTTTATCTAACGATTTTAGATAAAGTAGCGTTAAGCGCGCATCATATGAGGGTATGGGATCAGAGAAGAGTAGTGATCGTAAGGCAAATTTGAGAAACACTTTCTGAACGCGTTCAATCCTATTGTATCCTGTGGGAATATCCCCATAGGATACAATGGCTGAATTTCTTTATTCATTCTGAACGTTTGGAATAAACTTTTTTGTTTACTTATTCTTTAGAACGTTCCTGATGATATGTTAACGTATATTTCAAAAGCATTCTGTTTATTCCGGCTGTGAAATGGGATTATCCGGAATGTATAAAGAAACGCAGCCAATAGGAATCCTGCCACCAGTGCAAATTACAAATCCCGAATCGATTGTTGGATTGGGATGCCATCTCTCCATGCATTTAGGGCCGGTTGGTCAATGTCTGATTAGCACAAATCGAAGGTAGAAGCTCCGGTTAAGCACAACTACTGCTTTATCGATCACATGTTACATGCATGATGTCGAAATCGTCGATAGTGTATCACTGGAGTGTCGGTAACGCAGTGAATAGGAACAATTTAGATTTTCTGCGAGCATACCTTTCAACCTAAATTGAACAGTCAAATATATTTGAGCGAGCGATTAAGTGAACAACGATTTTTTGATTTTTTAAATAATTTGTATCATTGCTATGGCACAAAAAAGAAAATATTCAGAAAGATGAAAGTATAAATTTATTTGATTTTTGCATTCAGATGGATGTATATTATTTCGCAGGGTCAGAAGAGCAAACGGATTCTTTTATAAATGCCAGGATGGAACATTCTCCTTTTCTG